AGTTAATAAAGAAAATTAGAGCGCCACACGCGCCCCACGATGTAATACATCGGGGATAGTTAAAAAAAAAAAAAATAAAATTCAATATATGTTTTGTAATTTTGTTAAAAAATTTTTTAAGTTTATTAAAAAATTTTTAAAACAATAATGTTTTAAATTCTTGGTTTAGATTTTGTATTATTAACTACCTAAATTTTAACTAATCATTAGCTAATATCATATATAACAAAATATCTGTATATTTGATATTAGTGGGCCATATGATACATAAGCATTACAAAGTTTTATTGTTGCATACATATTTGTATTATAATTAATGATTTAAAATTTCGAAGTGCAGGTTATGAAACAATAACATTCTCGTGATCTGAGCTTGTACCTGTCTAATAAAATGAACCTTTGCCTAAAAATTAGCTCTCTTGAAATGTACTCATCTTTTTATACAGTAAATCAGGCATTTTGGATTTATGCCCTAGGTGCTGAATACAGCACTCTACGATAAATATTTTTCACATCTTGCTTTGTCTTTGTTAATTCCTTGCTTTTACTTATTATTTAATTATTTCTTTGGTATGCTAATTCTAAAATTTCTTTTTAACATAAAAAGGTTAGTGAATCTGCAAGGATTATTATAAGTTAGCTGGTTTTTTACTTCTTTCGGTCTCTTATATTCAAATTTCATCTTACTAATGTTCTATATTCTTTTAGGCTTAGGTGTTCATGACTTTAAATGGTTCTTTGGAATTTCATCTTCTTTTTGCAGTTCATCTTTAAGATTATGATTTTCAAGAAAAGAAGAATTGTGAGAAGAACAGGATGTGTTTAACAGTAAATAAATTTACAAATTCTCTTTTTTTTGTCTTGTGATTAATTTTTTTTCTTCTTAAGAACAACTAATACTTTCTTTTCATAGATCTAACTTTCATTGAAATATGAAATTAGCAGTAGAATCGAAAAAGAAAATAGAGTGATGTAAATAAATATTACTTTGTACTTTCTATTATTAATATTCTTGTATATATGACAAATTTTGAATTTGAAATAAAATGTTAGACATATTATCTTTTTATTACAGTATTAGTCAAGACCTTATTCAACATAAACTTGAATTGATGTAGGTTAGAATAACTTAATATTTTGTTTTTTAATAGCAACACTTAACATGGCATGAGGCTAGACAGTGTGGTAGAATTATGGAACGTTAATCCTTCTATATATTCTGTATTATTATTTATTTGTTTTTTGTGTCTTTAATAATAATTTTCTTATTATAGAGTACTTTATATTGCAATCATGACAATGAAAAAATATAGGCTGTGAATAGGGGTTGAGCTGATAATTATTTAAAACTGTACCAATATATACAAATTTTTTGGTAGAATGTTTTATCCTGTTGCAAATATTTATTGCTCATCTGATTTATATTTCATTATGATTTTTCCAGTCATAAGTGTTAGTTCTTTATATAAATAGCCCCTCTATAACTTCTGGTGATATATAAGGCAAGGCTCCATAAGTTTGTTGTATGTCGAAATCGAATATTTGTGAATTCCGAATCAACATGTGTTGCAATAGAATTCTAAATTGACTCTGTTGATAGAAAATTCAAATTCCACTTAATAAATAGATTTAGAATTAATTAATCATTGTCAAATTAATAAAAATAATTTTATTTATAAAAAAAAAATGAAATTGAAATTCTTATTCGCAATGCAATTGGAAAGTTTACTAATTTCTCGATTGCAAATCTGTCAATCAACATTGTAAAACCTTATTTTATTATACTAAGAGGTTATAATTTATGTATTAAATACAACTATTGGAATTGCCAAAGATTATTGATCAAAAAAACATTCAGCTTATGATATCCAGAATGCAACAGAATGTATGACATAGTTTGTAGTTTATGTTAAGGTGTTTTAAAACATAAAAAATATTGCTCTATAGGATGCTATATATAATTAAAAAACAAATTTAATATGTATTTGTAGATTTCTGAGCAACACAATCATTTGTTAAAGAATTGAAATTTTCAATCAGCCTCGGCAAACTAATCATTATTAATAAATTTCTTAGTCTAATTTTAATGACAAACTGAGACTATGATTATATTTGTAACATGTGCTAAAATTTTTTTAAAGGCCAATGAATTGGATAATATTCCTTCAAAAAGTTGTAAGTGTGCGAAAAACTTTACAATTAGTGTCACAAATAGGCTATATAAATTGTTACAAATATAAAAAGCAAATTTGCCTCATGGAAGTAACTGTTATCCCAATAATCATGCTTATATATATAACTAGAATAAATGACTTTGTGATGTACATGTCACTCTCGATATAATGGACTATTAATACAACAGAGACTAAGTAAAATCTTGATATAGTGGATCAAGATTCAAATTTACATCATAATAAATACTGCTTGATATAATGAATTTACTAATAAAACTTACGATAAAGTGGATTTTAAAAAATTCCTCACTATGTGCCCGAGGTATTACGTTATATCAAGAGTAACATGTATTGCTATTTAAAATGCTTTTAATTTTAAAATTGAATATGTGCTAAGTAAGTTCTAAATCAACTTTAAGTTAGTTCGAAATTCTTTAATGATTTAAGTAAATTTAAAATTTTGATTCAATTTATGTGTTTTTAGAATCAGCTTAAATTTTGATTCAATTTTTGTGTTTTTAAAACTATTCCAATAATCTCTGATCAAGATTTAAAGTCAAAGTGATATTTCTGTTAATGTTTCCTTCACTGATTCAAGTTTATTCCAACTAAAACCCAAAGAAGCCAATAGTGTTTTTATGAAGTACCTCTATCAGTGTTTTTCTTCTTTAATTTCTATAAAAATTCAATGCAATTAGAGTGGTATTCTTGTAAAGTGTATTTCACTCTTTGATCCAAGTTTGTTAATGCTAAAATCCAAAAAAAAAAATGCTTCTGCTAATGCTTCTTCTGGTCCAAGTTTTATTCCAAAAGTCAGGTAGTGTTTTTGCAAAATATTGGCTTTAATTTAAATTTATTCTGATTATAATTAAGGTTTGTTTCAAAGATTTACATTATAGTATTGTTAATGATCTATGTTATTAATTGTAATTGATACAGCAGTTGAAGAGTAAATTTAATCTTTAAGAGTATGAAAATCCCTAAAACATGAGCGTTCTTTGTTATAACACAGTGCAACATCATATTTACTACACCATAAATGAGATTGAGGTAGATTCTGTAAAGCCAGTTCATCATTTTTTTTTGCAAATACCAACACCACAGACAAGCTCTCCTTTCTTTATATTCTGAAAAATGATCATTGCCAACAAATCGGCTTAATGGTAATTTAAAATTTTCAAAAACTCAGACTTTCTTATTTTCAGCTTTTTTCTCAGGCAGGTTTTGTTCTTCACTTCGCATTGTACATTTGAGAGGATTAACTGCTGCATCCTTGATTAGAATTCGAACTAATTCTAACTTGAAGGTTTTGAGTTCATTACATAAAGCTAAACTTTTGCTTATAATATATGAATTTACAAGAGCCATGTCTAACAGCCAGAAAAAGAGAGGCATCCACATTTTACGGACTATTAACTAAGTCGAATAATAGCTACGGAGTTGATCTGCAATATCTACAGCACCTATGTAAATGTTATAATTATTTACTACTTTTGGAATTGGCAAACTCTTGCGAGATAAACCTCCAAATACCATTCTTATTTTTTGACTATTTATATTTGTCTCTCTTGATCATCTTCATTTTCTTTAATTCTGTTATTATCTCTTTCAATCACATAAATTCTAGTAAGCATAGTGACAGGTCTGTTGTCAATCCATAATAGTGCTAGTACATTATTAACTACTACACCTTTTAGAAAATCCCACTCCAGATTTTTTTTTTCTTTTTTTTTTTTTAAAGTAACAGGAAAATTTGCTGTATTGGTACATACAGTGCCACATGCACCATATTCCTTTTCTCGAAGAAAATTGAACAAATTAACACTTGAAAAATAATTATCTATAAAAATGTTAAATGCATTTTGTGCTGGAAGTTGTTTCACAAGATTATACACTTCTGCACCTATTTTGTTAACATTAAGAATTGGATCAATATGTAAAGATTCTATTCTTGATGTAAACATAAACAAATATATATATCTGGACTTGCATAATGATAAAATTCGATAGCTTTTAGATGTTGGCTTGTTTTTAATTTAAAATGTATGGGTGCTTCTCCCTGAAAAGTGTGCGATCATCTCATCCACAGCAATATTCGCTGCAGGAATATAGAGTTTTTGTAAAACATTATAAATGTAAGATGCTAGTGGTTCTAATTTTGCAAACATATTATTGGTTTTCTGTCTAGTACAATCGGATATATAAATATATCGCTTAATATTTTATATAAAATAAAATAAAATTTTTTAATAAATATACTAGAACATACTATTTATAAAAAATAATTATAAAAATACTTATCTGTTGAAATTGTAACAAGGTTATGAAATTTGTTATTTCATGTGAGAGATAAAATATATTCTTATTCCAATAATCGTGAACAGCTGAGAATTTAAAAATCCCTATATATATTACTAATGCAACTCAGATCTTAAATTCTGAAACAGTTAATGGGTCCCATTTACAACCTGTATTGGTATTTTTGTTTTCATAATTTGAGCATAAGCATAGATGTTAGTGTTTTGTACAATGGTTTCTATTAATTGGGCAGAAAAAAATTTTGAATAAATATAAAATATTGAAGGATTATTAGATTCTAAATCAGTAGAAGGCAATGAAACAGAGGCTTTATGCAGCAGATATTTATATTGAAAAGGTATAAATGTAGATGTAAGTGTAGATATAGATTCAATTTTTTTTTTACTTTTTGAATTAATTTCATAATCAATCTCAGTATCTTCATTATCTACATCATGGTTCTGATCGAAAAAACAAATATAAACACCATTAATTTCTGATTCATTAATGAAATTCATCTTTTGATTTGAAATGTTAAATTGTAAGCAAACTTGTGTGTAAGAACAATTAACTTAGTACTTTTACAAACTTATAAGCAGCAAAACAATTAAGCAGGGACTATAATTCTCAAGTTTAGATCCTGAATTAAATTATTATAACAATATGAAATTAATTTGATTAGATGAACTTATTCAATAGATTCAATTCAAGATCTAATACAGAATCTATGTTCTATAAAATGTATTGATTTAAGAACCGTGTCCAGGACTGTCTTTTTGGATCATAGGATCAGACTGGACTGGATTCACAATTTAACATCACTAATTTTATTGGTTAATATTAGAAAATTTTGATTTCGTTAAATAGATATTCAGGCAATATCATATTATAGACAATTAATGAACAGAATACTGTAGTGATCAGATTTTAAAGAAATAATCAAATCCTTATCATATAAATCGATGAATTCAGGCAGAAAAATAAAAAATAACAATAAACAGTATGTCAATCAGAAACTTACAACTTTTGATAGAGCTTAAATCTAGGATATTAAAGAAAAAAGTTTCAATTTAATATATATGAATTAGCCTTATTCAACCAAGCTGATGATTTGGTTAAAGAATAGAAAATTAGTCAGAAATCTTTATCAACAAAATTCTGTTACATGACTCATTGATATAATAATAATGCACTTATACTGTACAGTGAGTTTGATTTGGTAAAACATAGTTTTGTTATTATTGCATTTACCACTCTTACTGGCTAATAACATTATCCATTTTTAGTAAAAAAATGTGAGATTTACAATATCACAAAGTGAAGACATTTTATAATATATTTTCTTGCTCTTGTGCTATAACAGAGCTGAGCTAAGAAGCACAGAGTGTTAGAAAATTCATGGATATATTTGTAAGAAAATATACAAAGTTTTTAATTAAGTGTTTAATTGCCATAAATATTAGTACTGTAATGCCACAATGTTACAATATTGTAATGCTATAGTATCTTAATACTGCTATAGAGTGAATTGTATTGTATATACTTTATATAGTAAAATAAGAAAATAATACAAATAGGCAACTTGCCAGAGGCATGACTTTGATGAATTGGAAATAATTACTTTTAAGATGTAAATATGCAGGTGGAGTTTTATTAAATATTTTAAAATTTATTTATTTTTTGAATGGATTATTAACCTCAAGTATTCTATCTATATCTGATACAGAAGAGCAAGTGCTATATGTAAATTTTAATTCTAAACATTTTAATTAGAAGTCAGAAGTTGGTTAGCATAATAAAATTTGACTCTATTTAAGAATTTTTACTTTTGTTGGTGCTGGACCTAAAATTTTAAGATCAGAGGTTAATTTTCACTTGACATGATAATAGGAGGAACCATTGATGTTACACTAATGATTTTTCACCCAGTGTGCAATATATAAAAAAATCATTTTACAATACCAGATCATTCTTCTAGTACATGTTATGATTATAATCCTACACTATTTTTATTATAATAAAATGGTGTGAGATTATAATCATAACATGTACTAGCAGAATGATCTGGTATTGTAAAATGATTTTTTTATATATTGCACACCTAGTGATTTAAGCTGGCTATAGCAGCCATGACTAAGCCAGCTTAGCCAACTTAGCCAGCCAATATAATATGATTGGCTGGCTAATGCGGCTAAAGATCATATGATTTAGTATATAGTTGGATTTCGGTAAATTCTGAAAAGGATTATGAAATTGAGCAGAAAGTTTATTAAAATTTTCTAGAAGTATGATATTTTTTAGCTGTTAGCTAGCCAATTAGCCAATATTTTAGTCAGCTGGCTTAGCCAGCTGACTAAAACCTTACAGCTTAAATTATGATGCATACCAGGTGAAAAATCATTAGTGTAACATCAACAGTTCCTCCTGTTTATAAGGATACACAAATCATCTATCTTGTAACACCAAATTCATATGATTTAGCAGGCAAATTTGCCTGCAAAACAATTCATCTGTTTTGCAACACCAAATTCACATGATTTTGCAGGCAAATTTGTCTGTAAACAATTTGTCTGTCTTGTAACACCAAATTCACATAATTTAGCAAGCAAATTTGCTTGCAAAACAAATCATCTGTTTTGTAACACCAAATTCATATAATTTAGCAGGCAAATTTGTCTGCAAAACAATTCATCTGTCTGTAACACCAAATTTGCAGACAAATTTGCCTGCAAAACAATTCATCTGTTTTGTAACACCAAATTCATATGATTTTGCAAGCAAATTTGTCTGTAAACAATTTGTCTGTCTTGTAACACCAAATTCACATAATTTAGCAAGCAAATTTGCTTGCAAAACAAATCATCTGTCTTGTAACACCAAATTCATATAATTTAGCAGGCAAATTTGTCTACAAAACAATTCATCTGTCTGTAACATCAAATTTGCAGACAAATTTGCCTGCAAAACAATTCATCTGTCTTGTAACATGATTTTGCAAAAGTTATCTTTTTGATGCGCTATACTACAAAAATTACTTTTTTGATGCACATGCAAAATGGGTAAATAGCATCAGGAACATAATTTAGAAATTTTTGGTTCATTCATACGCAACATATTACAGCAATAGAAAAAAGAAAAAGAAAATTTCTTTTTAAATCTGGTCAATTTGGCCAGAAATTTCCTTCTTTTCTATTGAACAGTGCCCATATGATCATGAAAATATTTCTTGTTATTTTTTCAATTGACATTGATAGTTGATCTTAAATAAATTTGCAGCCAATGTCTAAAGCTTGTCTGCACATTCAAATTTAAACAGGCCGATTTTCTGTTCTGCAAAAATTTTATATATAGTAATTTAATACGATACATTATTTTGGATACCACAATAAAAATTTAAACTATGCCAGCATTTTAAATTAATCATCAACAGGGTTGAGCAGCCTTCTATGTCTAGTGAATTTTACCAGACATATAAATTTGTCTAGTATTTATTGATCTATTAATACATATAGAGCAAAAATTGGCAGTATATACTGTCCTAATTATTTGGTTTGCTTGACTCTGAACAAAAGTATCTTGTTTCAAAAAAAAAAAATTTGACAATTTTAGAAATTTAAATTTCATTAAACAAACTACTTGTCCGATTGCCCTACCTTGATCATCAAAGTATTTATATTTGGAAATGTATACTAGTGAAAGTTAAAAAGTGGCATTCAAATTATGCCATTCAATATAGTGAAATTTTTAACTTTTATCAGTGATTATAAACTTTTATATACCCTTTGGAATGGATTATAAATGTGAATTTATAAAAAGCATGCATTTAAAGCATTTTATAAGCATTGTTGGCAGTTGAGATTGAAGCATATATGAATTTATAGTATTCAACTCAAAATTTAAGATGGAAATACTATACTTTATATAGAGATGCCCATAGCAAAACAAGGCTTCGGAACTATATATTATATAGTCCCTAAGCCTTGTTTGCTATAGACATCCTCATATGTGGATTGCTAATTAAATTTTTTTTTTTTGAGGCCTTCTAAATCTTCATAATAAGTATATGATATTGTGTAATCAAACTTGATATAACCTTGATCTAGTTAGTAATTTCAAAATATTCATGTATATGATATAAATTGCAGTATAAAGAATTAAAAAAAACCTAGTATCTATATATATTGCTTTATAAAATCATACATTTAAAGAAAAATTGTGATTTATTAAAGGTGCAGTACAGTATTAGATATAGCATAGGTAATCCATTGATTGTGAATTTTGGCTTCCAAGCATCATTTGTCATAAATGCATCATTATTGCTATGATCAAAGTTATTAGATGACATTTCTAACTTAGAACTACTGTTGTTTAACTTCAGTGTCATTCATCCAATAGATAAGGGCTATGGCTACCATTTGTAGAATCCAGTTCCCAACTACTACTCTAATATAAGTTATGACATCTAGAATATTTCACATTTACAAGTTCACTGTAAGAATTCAATTTTTTATTGTATCTCCTCTTCTTCATCTGGATCAACAGAAGGGAACATACTGATCCAAAGTGAATCCCATACACAGTGTGATCAATTAAAACTAAAATTATTTATTTTAGTTTTAATTGATAACACCAATTCACTTTGGATTGGGTATGTTCCCTCCTGTTATCTGGATCTCTTATTGACCTTGTCATTATCATTCCTAAAAATATAAACTAAGAGTTAAGAATTAAACAAAAGATCTTAAAAAAACCAAAAAAAAAGAAATAAAAATAAATAAATATCACAGCAAAATAATCTTAGATCATTTGAATGCTACAGAGTGAAAACCTGGAAGTGAATATTTAAACTTTCACTGTAGTGAGTTTATTCCCAAAAGAATTGTGACATTACATAATTTAACATGTTTCACTCCTGTATTACTGAAATTATGAGAGCTCTGTAAGCTCGCTACAGTGAAAACTTAAATATTTACTTTTAGGTTTTCATCTAGCAGTACTCATTTATCGAGAATGAAACAGAGATATATATCCACTATTCTCAAATACTTCTGCACTGTTGAATCAAAATAAATTCTTTAGAAACTATGTAAATATTTTCATTAAAACACACTATTTCTTTAATATCTTTAGAATTTTCATTTCCTCTGCCCAATTGCAAAGAAAAAAGTAAAAAACAAAAAATAAAAAAAAAAGTAAAAAGGTTAGAAGTTTTTTGAAGCAAAAATTGAAAAAATTATAAAAGATCATAAGCGATTGAGACACAAAGCTACCCTGATGTCTTGTATATTTTCTAGCTTTTGTTTGACATTTATCATAACTGTACACTAGAAAGGTTTGCCCTTGAAATGGTTCTTACAAGTTATGACTAACTTTATCATGACCATTTACTCTAAGGTGATCCACTAAAATTCAAGAAGTAACCTTTTTAAAAGTTAAATGTTCAAAACCAGTTTTGATCAATAATTGCAATTACCTGGAGGAACATGAAATTTAAGATGAACTTAGAAGTCAAAAGTAA